CTTCAGTCTGGCCATCGGTCTGAGGGTGGTATGCAGTACTTATCCGAAGGCGAGTTTGACTTAGCTTAAATAATTCCTGCCAAAAAGTACTCAAGAAAAGTGGGTCTCGATCTGATAGAACAGAACGAGGCATGCCATACAACCGGACAATCTCCTCACAAAAACGAGCAGCCACAGATTTGGCAGTATAGGGGTGTGCAAGGGGAATGAAATGACAATATTTACTCAATCTATCAACTACCACTAGAATAGTATCATAGCCACCTGATTTGGCATTCCAACAATAAAGTCAAGAGAGATATCTTCCCAAATCTGTGTAGGAACTGGTAAAGGTTGCAGCAAGCCAGCTGGTGATAGGGTTTCATATTTGTTCTTCTGGCAAATAAAGCATTGTTGAACCAAAGCTTTTACATCATTTTTCATTTTAGGCCAATAAACCATACCTGTTAAACACTTGAGAGTTTTTAAGAAGCCCCCATGACCACCCGAAGGTGTTACATGTGCCTCTTGTAGTAGCTTAGAGCGAAGAGATGAGCTCCGGGGAAAAACTAGGTGCCCATTAAAATACAATTTCTGCTCAACCAGACTATAACCGAGATGAGAACTGGAATTTTCTTTTAAGGCAGCAACAATAGGAGCTGTAAAAGAGTCGATTGTCAAAGCTTCTTGTAATTCAAGGAAATCTAAAGGCACAAGAATCACCAAATTGAGAAAATCAGCATGTTGTGGTCTTCTGGATAGTGCATCAGCCCCAATATTCTCCTTACCAGCCTTATATATAATGGAGAAATTGAATAGAAGTAACTTTAAAATGAGACGCTGTTGAGTATTTGTTAAAGTTCTCTGCTGCAACAGATTTTTCAAGCTACTGTGGTCAGATTTTATCGTAAAATGCCTTCCTAACAGATATGACGCCACTTTTGGAGTGCCAACACTAGAGCTAATAGTTCCTGATCATATGCTAACTGAAATCTGTTAGAAAAAGATAACCCCTTGCTATAAAAAGCGATGGGGTGGTCATGTTGCATTAGGATGGCCCCCACACCTTCCATTGAAGCATCATACTCTACAATAAACTCGGCCGTGAAGTCAGGAAGTTTTAAAACAGGGGCTGTAATAAGATAAAGCTTAAGTTTCTCAAAAGCTCTTTGAGCTTCTGGGGTCCAGCAAAAAGCATTCCTTTTAGTTAATGTAGTAAGGGGACGAGCAATAATACTGTAATTCTTGACAAACCTTCGATAGTAGCTAGTGAGTCCCAAAAAGCCTCGAAGTTCTGTGACCTTTGTAGGTACTGGCCATTCACTTACGGTATTGATCTTTTCAAAATTCGTTTCCACTCCTTGTGCTGAAACCTTATACCCCAAAAAGGACACACTGGTCTGCCCAAATTCACACTTCTTGAAGTTGGCATAATACGATTGTTGCTGCAAGGTAGAAAATACCAATCGAAGATGATCTTTATGTAGGTTTGGAGTGGGACTATAGATTAGGATGTCATCAAAGAAGACCAACACAAATTTTTGAAGATAAGGACGAAAAAGATCATTCATAGCTGCTTGAAAAGTGGCTGGTGTGTTGGTCAGTCTGAACGGTATTACAACAAATTTATAGTGTCCACTATGAGTTCGAAATGCTGTTTTATAAATATCCGCTGGCAAGACCCGTATCTGGTGATAACCGAAGCGAAGGTCAATCTTGGAAAAATAAGTAGCTCTATGTAATTCATCTAGAAGCTCATCAATATTGGGAATTGGGTATTTATTTGGGACCGTAATCTGGTTCAAGGCCCTATAGTCCACACAGAACCTCCAGGAGTCATCCTTTTTCTTTACTAGTAAAACTGGACAGGCAAAAGGGCTCGAACTTGGCTGTATGAACCCTTTCTGTAATAATTCATCCACCTGTTTCTCGATTTCAGTCTTCTGGAAGTAAGGATAGTGATAAGGGCGTAAGTTGGGAGGTTGAGTCCCCTGTAGAAGATGAATGGCATGATAATGATCTCTGAAAGGTGGCAGAGAGATTGGTTTTGCAAACAATCCCTCAAATTCGACCAGGAGTTCATCCACATCCAATGACTTGATAGTGGGAGATCCCAATGTGAGCTCAGAAGAGAACATGGAATGTAAGCTGGCCTTCTGGTTTAAGGCTTGAGGTACTCCTTGAAGTTTATACCGTTTGCCATCAACCCAAAAAATTAAAAACATCTCATTCCAATTGGCTTGTATGGTATTTAAAGGAGCTAGCCATTTGATTCCCAACACCAAGTCTGTTCCCGCCAGAGAAAAAGGATAAAAATCTTGTTTAATGGTACTAGGTAGCTTCACATCCACTTCTTTGCATACACGATTTCCTCGAATTACACTGCCATCTCCAATCTGTATGCCGAAAGTGGGAATAGAACAAGTAGGCAAGTTCAACTCTTGCACCAATGAGTCAGAGATGAAGTTGTGGGTCAACCCACTGTCAACAAGGAGCAGTACATTGTGATTGAGCACCTGACCTCTTAGTTTCATTGTTGCCGCTGAAATATTACCTAAAATAGCATTAAAAGAGATTTCTGCACTTTCCGTAGTCTCATCTTCTTCCTCTGCAATAGTAACAGAATTTTCTGATATAGGTTGCCCATCCTCGTCGATCTCCATGAGTGAGAAGGATGAGGGTTTGCAACGGTGCCCAGGCCGGAAGACGTCCCCACAATGGTAACAAAGTCCCTTATCCCTGCGACGCTGCTGTTCGGCATTTGAGAGCAGAGGTCATGGCTGGATGGTGTTTGCTGGTCGTGGATTCGTGAAAGACGCAGGAGAATTTCTTAATGTGTTGGGCGAGAAGGCTGTAGCAACACCCGGTTGATCACGTGCGAACATATTGGAGCTGTTAGTGGACCGAGTTTGGATCAAGGAAGAGCTGGGCTTGGGCCCATGATGCAGCTGTAGCTTTTTCTCATATTCTAGTGCTAAACTAGCGGCTTTATACACTGTGCGAGGCTTCTGAATACGCACATCAGATTTCAGGTCATCTATGAGTCCTCCCAGAAAAACACCTAACAGACAGTGTTCCGGCCAGTTATGAACTTTTGCTCCTCGTTTAGCAAACTCCTGGTGATACTCTTGTACTGATCCGGTCTGCTTGATGGTGACTAGGTGTTCATCAGGATTTTGATACTCTGGAGGGCCGTAGTGTTCTTGCAATGCTTTCACTAACTCCTCCCAATAAATCAAGGTACGTTCTGAATTTATCCATTAGAATAAATCCAAAGCATCCCCTTCTAAATACATGGAAGCCACATCAACCTTCAAATCTTCTGATGTTTGATAATACCTGAAATACTTTTCAGCCTTTAAAATCCAACCACGCGGGTCACCTTCACTAAATTTTGGGAATTCAATTTTAGTGTGTGGTGGATGTGGACCCCTTCTATAGTCTGACTCTTCATCACTATCTTCATCCCAGTGTGAACGCCTATGATAGCTTCCCATAGGTCTTTTTCCTTTGTTGGCAGATAACTCAAGTGCTTCAACCTTCTCTTTTAATAAGTCAAGTGTTTCCAGTCTGGCTGCAATGCGGCTTAAAGGGTCTGATGCAAATGGATTTTTAGTATTCTGACCTTGGGGTGGGTTGTTAAAGGAGTTGGCATGGTCAGTTTCATTTCCGGAGCGTGTGGTCACCATAATGATCGAACGAGGCTCGGATACCAATTTGGTAGGGGCTCAAGACAAATATGAAGGAAAAGGAGGATTCTATTAAATTAAATAGAGCAAGGATCTTACTCTACTGAACTTAATAGCCAAATAGGAGAATCTCCAAGGGAAAAACAAGGTTTATTAATTCAGCTATCCTGCTGTCATACCAGCCAGGATATTTATAACCAGAAACTACAATTAAATAAATCAAATAATGCAGATAATTAGCCTAAAATCAGGAAATAACTGACTAGCACGTTGGTACCCCACTAACGCAGTGAAGGTCCTATTATTCAGCTACTAACAGTTACTAACAGTAAAACAAAACAATAATTAATTAAAATAACAGCAATGAATTAATTTAAATAAGGTAAATCCCTCATAATCTGCATAACAGCATCTGATTCTGTTATCTTCCTCCTTTTTCTACGTTGATAAGTGATTATGGGTTTGTTATGCTGACTTAGACCCTTATCACACACACACACACACACACACATTAAAAAATTATAAATGAATAAAACACCAGGAATATAAAATTATACATGATTATTATTTTTGAGGTCAAGTTAAGGACTCCATGGACTATGTGTTCTGTGAAAATATGTATTAGAAACGCGTGAAACCTTTTTATGAATTTCTATTTTAATGAGTTCTCATCCCTGATATATGATCGATATGGGTCTGCATGGTGTCTTGTGATTCTCTCTATATACCATTTACAGCAAGAAAATTAAAGATTTTTTTTTTGGACATATTCAATGTAAAACAATAATAACATCGATAATTTTTAAGGATTAAGTATGTGAATTTACATTTACGAATTTCTTGGTCCTATAATCCCATTTTATGTTTTATCATTCACTATTACAAAACAAATAAAAGTAAATAAATAAAAAATTAATAAGCCTAAGGGAGAGCTTTCATGTAAGCACTCCTATTGACTTCAGTTAAAAATATGATTTTTTTTTTAAAAAAATCCTACGGGAGTGCTTATTTGGATTGACATAGTGGAGTGCTTTTATAAAGTGCTATATTTTTAATAAATATTTATTAAACCCCCACCCCTCAATCTGATATCCATCGATAGCCCTCCCACCCAAAAATTTCATCATCAATATCGATCTCTCTCTTCGAAGTCGACACCGTCAACCCCACAACCCAAGCCGAAGCACCGTGCACGCTCCATACCATCGTCCGTTGTAGTTCCGTCTTCTTCATTCATGAACGCCGAAGAGTGGCGATCCTGATCTAAATCTCATGTGTCGTTTGAGCTTCCTCTTGACTACTTTAAATAAGTCTCATAATTGTGTTACGGGCTTCAAAAAAACTTGTAAATCAAGAGTACACTATCTTTAATTTTGACCATAATCATTCAAAGAGGAGAGTTTTGTATGCAATGTGTAACATACAATCATATATACAATAATAACAACAAGTAGTCTTATTTGATGAGGTGCGATTGGCTATATGAATTGCACAACACCATTTGTACTAATCAAGAAGTTTTGTTCAACAATCATGAGTGTTTCTTTATGGTTTTCCTCTTGCTTCTTTTGACGAGGCTTATAGCTTTATCGCACTAGATAATGTACAACATGAAGTTTCGTATTGTTCAGTAGAAATATTGTGACTACCTAGCAGAGAGAATAGTCATTGATTCAATATTCACACTATAATCTAGTAAACTGCTGCTGGGCATTGTGTTATCTATTCTTGCATGATCCATCTCCAAAGCCAAACATTCTTGTAGTTCTTGTAATATGTAACTTATGTTTGGCCTTTGGGATGGTGTTGGTAAGACACATAACATTGCTACTTCAACAACTTTCCATATTGAAGTAACATAGAATTCTCTTGCTAATCTTGGATCAACAATGCCTTTAATATCGCCGCATTCAATTTTAGGTTGAACCCAATCAAGAATGAAAGTAATATTCCTAGGACCTCTCTTTATTGGAGGATGACCAGTTATTAGTTGAAGAAGAATCATTCCAAAACTATAAATGTCACTTTCCTTATTTAATTGTCCACATCTTTGAAATCTGCATAAAGGATAACAATTAGTTAGGTTAACTAGATTTTTTTGTTTGGTATAATATATTTGTTTTAGAATATTACTTGTTAATGAATGAATATGATAGAAACACTTACTCAGGATCAATATAACCGGGAGTACCAGCAGGTTGAGTTGATAGATGAGAATCTCCTTCATTTATAAAGGCTCTAGATAGTCCAAAATCAGCAATCTTGGCCACCATGAATTTATTTAATAAAATATTGGATGGTTTCAAGTCTCTATGAATTATAGGAGTATGACAACCAACATGAAGATATTCCAATCCTGTAACTCCACCAGATTATTTTTTAAGAAAGGGAAAAAAAACTAGTGGTTATTAACAAGCAAAGATACTCAATAGTATGGTAGTTTTGTCACCTTTTGCTGTGTCAATTGCAACTTGAAGTCTCTCATTCCACTTCAAAACTTTTGAGTTTTTCTCTACAAAACATACTTGTACGTCTCTCAACAGTGTGTTTCATTGTAAAAAGCACATATCATCATACAGCTATTAGAAGTGTTTGGTTAACCAAATCAACTAGTGAAAACTGAATGAGTAGTTTGAGTCCAAATGCATATAATATTTAATTTTGCCTTTATGAGATCGATGAATGAAATGTTACTAACCATATAATTGTTTTAGGACTTGAAAACCACAGGAAATTAAATTACACCATCAGTGATATGGCAAAGTTTTGACCATACAAGATATGACATACCTAAGAGATGGCCAAGGTCCCCATTATCCACATATTCATAAATCAATGCCTTGATGTTGCCCTCATGACAATACCCAACAAGTGAAACTAAGTTTCGATGATGAATAACAGTTAGGAGTTGAGCCTGCAAATCAAGAGTTTGCTCCATCATAACTGAAGAAGATTAATCTTGCACCCCATTTTCATATATGTATGTTTGTATGTATATATATACGAAAAGCTTTGAAAATCATGATATATATGACTTTCATGACTGACCTCAGATTGAAATTCCTTGTATCCTTGCTTTGATGATGCAGAAAGCAATTTAACTGCAACTTGAGAACCATCTTCTAAAGTACCAAGGTAAACTTTCCCAAACCCTCCTTCTCCAATAAGAGTTTTGAAATTGTTGGTGATATCAACAACTTGTGAGTAAGAAAATTCTCGATTCTTCTGTTTTAGAATTAGGGACTTGGTTGACAGATCTACATCATATTATATCAAGTGTTTTGAAACTTCCAAATGAAGTGTAAGTCAAGAGATTATCTTGCTAGGTCAAGAATTTCACTGCATGAGTACTATATTTTGTGTCTGAAAGGTTATACAATGTGGAATAGAACACAGAAATGAAAAGTTTCCTTGTTCTCGGGAAAGTATGCTACCATTGCAAGCATGAATATTTTGAAAGCACGCACGGTTGTCATACTCTGAAGCAAACTAATACTTCAATAATAATAATAATAAATAAATACATAAACGCACCCGCATCCAATATGTATATGATACAATACATGTCTTGTACTGTAGAATGCATGTTACATATTCTATCATTTGTATTACTATATTTTTTTGGTCAAAATGTTTCTATATGACTTTAAAACTTGAAAAAAGATTAATATTTAGGTTGATTATGGTTAAAAATCATTTTATTACTTATTTAAAACTCAAGATACTCAATGTATCAACAAACCTCAAGATACTTGGCCTATACCCTAAAATATTGAAATGTATAACATATATTCTTGTACTCATATCCTAAAATTACGAAAATTGTCATATAGTCAACACATCATGCTCTATCATATTCAATACACGCACCATTATCGGTACCTCTTACTCATTCCCAGAGAAATGACAACAAATGTAAACTTAGATACCTTGTCTTTTCTTTTTGAGTCTCCAAATCATCGAAGAGAGAATGGCAATTAGGACTAAAACTCCAATTGATGTACTAAGAGGAATAACAAACTTGTTTATGTGGTCACATGAATCTCTCCTACAGAGGCCTGGATTCTCGGCTGCACTGTTAGAATCGAAAGAGCATGTATAAGTCGAGCAAATGAATTTCCAAGTAACATGTCTTGAACACATTGTGTTTTCCCATATATTGCAGCTAAATTTGGGGACTCATCCATGAGGGTATGTACATGAACAAAATATATTGCAGGTAAATAAGGAAGTTCACAATGTCGAATAAGGATGTTATTCATAAACATAACATATTAGAGATGAATCACTCACCTAGATATACTTAGTGACTTGTTATGGTTACCGATCTAGGCGTAATGCTAATTAGGAGAGTAGTAGACTAAGTTTTGTAACCTATAAAGGTTTAACTACATGCAGAATATAAGGCACTGTTATATGACTCCAATCTTTTAGGAATATCGATAATTTGTTAGAAAATTTTATCTATTTTGTTCTGTTTCATCTTCCTTTCTCCGACAGGTTACAATTTTTTTTTTTAATTTTACACTGACATACTAGAGCATACTTTCATTTGGATACTTTTTGGTATGTAGGGGAGACCTACAAGAGCATTTAAGAGCGCTTCCATATATTTTTTTACAGTAGTAAATGAATGGTAATCAGGACCAAAAAAAATATTTTCCATTTGACCTCAAACAAGTATAGACTTGAATCTGAATTTGGAATTGAAGACAAGTAAACCTGATATTCAAATTAGCATTTTCCTTCAACGCCTTGGGTATTGAACCTCTCAGCTTGTTTCCAGTCACATTACTGCAAGATGGTAAAACAATACACACACATACACCACACGTGAAATTTGGAAATATACAACTTCACAATCCGAGCATGAAAGTTGCAATGTCAATATGTTAAAGTCTTACATGAATTTCAAATTAGGAAGACTTGCGAGAAATTCTGGTAATTCTCCCCTTAATTCATTGTTGGACAAATCCCTATGAACAAATAGGTTAATTAGTATTGTTCATATAATATCTAACAGCAGGAAGCTTAGTAAAAGAGTATGTGAATATGACAACTTACAAGGATTCCAATTTTTCCAAATCCACGAATGACTTAACGATTTCTTTTGTTAGTTTGCTTGAGCTCAGGTTCCTATACAATTAGTAAAACACAAGTTCGCCACAGTAGTAAAAACAATCAAAAAGGAGAAAAACAAAAGGTAATCTATAGCTCATTTAGGTTGAAATAATCTCTGGCTGAGATATATTAACAAATCAATGCAAGATTTTGAGATGTAACGAATATAGAATCCTCACACTATATATATGGTTAATACATCTTAAATTCGGGCATTTTATTGCTCTCTTCAATGTTAGTGTGCAAGATATTGTTCTTAAGTGCTTCAAGTGTAACAAATCATAAATAAAAGCAATAGCATAGTACCCCGTCTTAGCTTATTTATAAGACAGAGATGATTTTAAAACGTTTTCCCTATTTGTAAGGCATATTATTGACTCTTTATCACAAGCTTTCCTATTAAATGTCAGTGAAAGAAAATACGCCATATTAAAATATGTATATTTAAACAGAGATTGAGTTTAGTGGAAGGGAGTAATCCCTCACAACATAACAAATCCAAATTTAATAACTTGTTAGGAGAAGTGCTCCTTTAGTGATCAACCATGTATATTTAATAGGAGCACAAAAGTTAAAATTTTCAGACATGATTAAAGAGTTTTAAAGTTTTTCTTAATTTTTATAAAAAATATAAAAAATAACTTGTAAATAGGATTAGTATTGCTTACAACGAAATGATTCTTGTGTTGTTGCCCGAGCTGCAATGCACACCTTCCCATGCCAAGTTATATGGCACACAAGGGTCCCCTTGCCAACTGATTTTGGAGATACCATAGGCACGCTTGATCTCCATGATGGCATAAACTGCATATATAATTTCCAATAATAAAATTAATGAAAACTACGTACCCATTTGATTCTTTTATGGCTATTTCAAAAATCAATCAAAATGAAAATTGAGTCAAAGGAATGAATAAAACAAAGAAAATCTAATAGCAATACCATCTTTTGCATTGGTAGGAGACTCTGGTTCTGGAATGACTTCGAAGATCTCAAAGGCATTGATGATAGGAGGAGCATAAGAATCAGCAGTTGCTCTGACTGTGAGGTGAGCATAGATTGTAGTAACTATCTTGTTGAAATGTAGGGTGACAGGTTTCAAGTAGTCAAGAGTAAGTTTCTGAGAAAGAGAATATTCATCATCAATCGTGACATTGAGAATTCTCTTTTTGCCGGAAGGAAGCTTTTGAATTTCAGCGAAATGAAGAAAGAAATAATGCTGTTTATCAAGTTTAAGACTCACAGGCACTCTTTCATTTAAGATATTGGACTTATTTGGAGATTGACATGCTGTGAGTAATATTTCTGATGGTAGCTCATAAGTAGAGTTTTCGACTACTTTTACTTGCGCTTTCAAGAGAACCAAATCAGGATTAACATGTCGATACCACAAGCGATCATACACATCGTCCTTGTACCTGGCCCAATTTTTAGTCTCAATGCGACAATCTCTCCTTACTCGAAAAGATAATGGAAATGGCGCTGCATAAAGAGAGTTGTTCAGTGGCCTTAATTCCAAAGTGTTGATGAAAGGTGTGCCTTGTCCTATGTGTACCAGACACACTTGCACAGTGCCATTGGTAAGTTGGATTATGATTTCACGATATGTGAGAGAGGGATCATCTTTATCAATTGTGGTCCAATAATTGACCCCCAGGTGGAGTGCAAACGTTGGAGGTTGGCTTGTGTAGTCGTAGTTCTGATATGCGAAGATAGCCCTGATCATGTACTTTTGCTTCTGATTCATCTCTTGTTTTGGTTTCAGAGTGTAACAGTTTCGTTTTCCATCTGGAAAACTTCGCAGTGTCTGTAGCTGTCTTTGTATGTATGGAAAACGACTGGATTTGAGGCCTACTTCATGATTGGTTCCGCTTTCTATGAAGCCTTTATCTGTCTGGTAGGGAATCCTAGTTAGTTCGTCGACATAACCTTCGCTTGCTCCACAATCTATGCTTATGAAACCTGCACATTTGTATTCCTTATTTATTTTATGTTTTCCGCAAACAATACATGAACCTTCATATACTTCTCTTGTCCACAGGAGAGGGTATTTAATTTGCTCTAGGAGGCACCGCATCAATTATTATGTTTATTTTTATCTTTTTGCCTATAAAATGTTAATGTTAGAATATTTTATTTTTAAAGTATGTAAGAGTATACTTAATAGAGATAAAATTAAAAACTTATTAAATTTTTAAACAGAGTTAATTTAATGAGATTTAATGTCTTTATTAGTTATGGTGAAAATGCTAGAAATGACTTATGAAGCATTTTCACCAAAACAAAGAAAAACATTAAAGTTGATTAAATTTGTGTAAAAATTTGTGAAGCCTCTAACTTTACCTTATTAAATATACATATTTTAAAAATAAAATACTCTAACAATTAATAACTTTTCCAACATTTAATAGGGGTAAAGAGTAAAAATGCATACAATAATAATTAAGGTGTCCTATAAATAAGATCAAAATAAATACTTTCTGTGCCTTATAAATAAGACTAGAGGAGTATGTCTTATTTAATTAAAGCATTAAAAATTAAATTGATTATTGAATCCGACAAGATAGTGATTTAAGAATTAGTGATTCAATTATGGTTGAACCAGAATCAATTCAAGTATGGTTAAAATAGTACAATTTAATTAAAATATATAAAAATATTTATATATAACCCTAAAAGAAATAATATTAAAACAAAAAAGCATTAATCCACATGTAAATGGAAAATTTATATATAAACCACACAAAATAGCGTTATTAAAATACAAATACGATGGACTGTTATTTTTATTTGTATTTTGACTCAAAACAATGTTATTTCAACTCGCTAGGGGAGAAACAAAAATATATAATTCAACCTAATTGACTCATTCAAAACTATTGACTGGACTAGACAAGAGACAAGTTCCCTGATTTACTTGTCTAACTAGCCAACTGGGCTGGGTTTTGATATACCATCTACTGAACGGATATGATTTTGATACTCATTAGTATGATGATGAAATTTGAATCATTCATATTTTAATTTAAATAGTTCAAACTTAAAGTATTATTATATATTATATTTATTAAAATAAAATTTACAAAAAATGTAAAATAATTTTAGTAATTTTTTTATTTTTAATAGGGTTTAGATTTAATTTGGAAGTTTAAATTTAATATTAAATGTTTTATATTAATGCATATTGACTATCTAGATGTACTCTACATAGTTTAGATTAATACCATATTAAATTTGAATTGTGCAAAATACATCTGGATAGTCACTATATACCAATTATAAAAATTTTAATAATAAATTGAATTCTCTAAATTAAATCTAAATCAGATAAAAAAATAAAAAAATTATTAAAAATATTTTATAAATTTTTCTTTTAATAAATAAAAAATAATAATACTTTAAACCTAGATCATCCAAATCTTGATATGGATGGTTCAAATCTCATTACAATGTACTAAACATTATCATAATTTATAAATAGTAATTTATCCATGAGATTTTTCTTATATATATATATATAACACTAAATAATATTGCATCTTTAATAGAAAGAAGGTAAGAGATTTTGCTATATACTCTTGTTTAGGTTGCAAGGGGAGAAATTGAGTGTTTGGGACATCACAAGGATAATCTTAAACTTAGGAAAATAAATTCTAATAATATAGTGATTATAAAAATTATTAGGTGCCTTCCTTCCCTCCACATCCCCGCGTTGAGAGGGGAGTGGAAAGAGAAAATTCATTAAGGTCTTATTTTTTTTTTTTCTCTCTGGCAAATAGGTCTTATTTGGTATAAATGAAGAGTTTGAAGAAAGGTGAAGGTAAAGGTAAAGGGGGAGAGAATTTCTTATCTTAATATTTTTGGGACAAATTATTTGAAGTAACAAAGGATTGGCGCTTCATTCACATATAAGGGAAGTCAACGGACTGAAAGAAAGATATGTTTCCTACCATAGAGTGAAAAAAAATGTAAATTTTTAATTTACCTCTACTGGTTTAGTTTTCTTGCAATGATATTTAATCATTTTCTACTAAAAAAAACATATGTAAATTTGCCGCCGAGTTATAAAATATTTTGACTATTTTCCCTTTCTTAATTTAAAATATTTAAGAAAGTCATGTACATAACCCAAACTTCAGGGCCTTATTATGTACAAATTTAGCCAATAAAAATTATTTACTTGCCTCATATTGCAATTATATTTTTTGTAACATCTCCTTTGTTTGAACAGTTAAATTATTTGCAAACAGATGGTGTTTATTTCATTATAAAGCTCTGTTTTCATAGCGAATTGAAAATTGCTTTAATTTTTTTTAAAAAAATGAAAGAGTAAAAGTTAGAAAAAAAATACATTACATTACTATATATATATATACATATTCTTTCTCAGAGAATAAAAACCAACAGTTATTGAAAGCCTTGCATATATTATTTTTCACATCTTTTTTTAATTAAACTTATTTATATAAAGGGGGTAGGATCACAATCTCTCCCACCTCTCTCCTTTCTAAATCCTTTAAAGTTCCAAAACCAAATTCTATGCAAATCATTTGAAGCATATGTTTTGAATAAAATTATTTATTTTCCTCTTTGAATTTGAATGGCAGTCCAAGTGCTTACCTGAATGACCACCATATGTAGCAACTGGTGCTGAGTGACCAGCGATGATGAAAGATAACAACACATACAAAGCCAGAATCCACAGTATCATTTTCCTTATGTTCTCAAGTTTAGAGGAAGAGGATAAGAGAAATGAAGTAGAAGCTTAAATGACTGGCACTGCTTCAGAAAACGGAGTGAGTATATATAAATAAACACACTATGGAAGAGGACATGAAAGGGATGGATATATACTTTCTATTTTTATTATATTCATTTGAGCTTGAGGGCTAGCTGAATGAATCTAGAAGAGATAGAATTGGTGCTGATATTTCAGGCGAGTCGGGTTTATTCTGATCAGGTTTAAAGTATCATACCCTTTTAAAAAAGCTCATATAGCCAAATTTGGTCTTAATTTTTTTCGGATGAGTTTGAGCTGACTTGTTGGACTTAACTTAAATTACTGGCTTTAGATATAATCAACATTAATATAGAATATAAAAATATTATAGAGAGCATAATTTATAATAGGGTAAAATCACAATTTGACCCTTAATTGTAAATTCAAATAAATCTATAATCCTAAACTTTCTTTCTTTTGTTTTTTGTTTTGCACAATTTTATCCTCTCAGCATCTAAAAATGTGGCAATGTGCTCCATCCCATTAATTACAAGGTAATGTCCATCAGTATAGTGTTGTGGGGCTCACATTTTCTCTCATACGATTTGAATATCAACATTTTTGTAATTAATTAACAGGAGGAAAAACATTATGACTTTTTCAGGAGTAAAATTACACTTAAAAAGTTTAGGGTTAAAATGCTTGCCCTATAGTTTAAAGGTAAATTTTGATTTTTATCTTTTGTAATTTTTAAAAATAATTTTATACTTTATATGAAGGGGGCATGGATGACAGATATTGATGGGATTGCTAGTACGTGTATTACATGAGACAGCTCACTGATAACAAAGGACTCGGTCAGACACAAATAAGGTCAACTAATTGAATGGGAATGTACTATTGTACAAAAATAATTAGGTCAACTAACCGACATATATATATATATATATATATAAAATACTATCTTAAGATTTGACACATTCGTAAATGATAATTAATTATTTTATTTTTTAAAAAACATATGACTGAGTATTGTGAATTTTTTTTAAAACGATGGATGTAAAAAGGACAAGAACATATCCCATACATCAATTGATTTTAGAACATTTAAAAAATACCATATTTTGTTTTTAATTCCCCCGCGAAAAAGATTATCAAGTTCTAGATTCGTTAGTGGAAGTCTCAATAAAATGAGAGATCTTAGATTGATAATAATATTTGCAATGAATAATTGAATTTAGTTGTTTCATGGGCAGCTTGGATCAAATTGCGTTCATTAGATTTTATCATGATATTTAAAATTTGTTATTATAGTTTTCTTTAGATTCGATGGGAATGTAAACTTGAGGTTCAAAATTTTCTTATACTCAAAGAAAAAATCCATCAATGAAAAGCTAGTTGCCAAATTAAATTACGTGCAAGTATTTTTATAATTGTACAGATATTCATGAATCTAAAAGAAATTCAATAAACAGAAAGAAGATAAGGCAATGTTTGATACATGAAAAATATTTTCTAAGAAAATAAGAAATGTATTTAAAAAATGATATATGTATTTATTATTTCATTTCTAACAAACATTTTTCTATTTACCAAACATCGTATAAGAGATTGACTTAGCTAAAATATTCAAGCACGTTATCTCGTGCAAAGTTTCAAGTAGAATTTGTGATTTGGCTTCTCTACCTTTAATTTGCTGCAAGATAATATTGCAATAAATCAATATAATAGATATAAATGCAGCTTGTTAACTTTATTTTTTGAGTAAAATAACGATAATTGCATCTTTTAATTAATTAAACTTATTTAATTTGGGATTTGGATCATACTTTGTACAAATAATTAAATTTATTACATCAAAGTGATGAATTTTGCACGAGTCGAGTATCAATTTTTTTTTGGTTATATGAGAATAATAGAAAGTAGAGTCGGTAATTTGGGCAAAATGAGCTTATTCAGACTGAGCTCAATTCAGATTGGGCTTATTTAGATCAAGCTCAAAGTATCCTACCCTATTTAAAAAGCTCATATAGCCAAGTCTTGACCTTGACTTTTTTAGTCCGGATTCGGGTTGGCCCATGGAGCTTAGCCAAAATTACTTACTCTATGCACATAGAGACAAAAAATTTTAGGGGTTAGATTTATTCAAGTCAGGCTCAATTCGAGTTGGACTTATTCAGATTAGGTTTAAAATATCCTATACCCTTAAAAAAGCTCATATAGCCAAGTCTGGTTTTAATTTTTTTTGGGGTTGGCTCAAATTACTAGGTCTAATAGAAAGTGGGTAATTTATTTTGGCCATTAAAAAGGGGAAATGAAAAAACAAAAATAATGATAATAACAAGTCATTAGTTTATAAACTCTTCTAGATTCCGATCTCCTAAGCAATAAGGATCTGCCATGAATTTGACTTTGAGACAATTATCGGAGGATATTACAATTAATGAAATTTTCAACGTCACACGTTACAGAAGCTTAGGGATTATTTTAAGATTGATGTATTTTTCACATATTACGTTGGACATTTGAGAGTTTAAAATAGAATAGAATGAAATAATTATAATAATAGGATACAATCCAACGGCATGGAGTCCAACAAAACAAAACTTTCATTATTTGGTCTCTGTGGTGTGGATATAATTAAAATTTCTAGTTTAATATTGTTTAGGAGTTATTATACATGAATATAATGAATCAAAGTACTAAATTTAAGGAGTCTTTTTTTTTCTTTGGCTTTGGTATGCTCGATCTTGAATTCGAACTAATTTGGCCAGCAGTTTGCAGGCACTTCTTTGAAAAACACACCTCTTATCGAGAATTTAATCATTACTTAATGTACAGAAAATGAATTGGAGATTTTTAGTTAAGCTGAACTAATTTATCCCTAGCCAATTGATTCAAACACGTGGTGATAATTTAGGTTCTTTGGATTTTAATTTGTTCGGTGAAATTATGTATGCATAAATGCGGGCAATTGATCTTCTGTTTTAAATGAACACTTCTCTCTGATAGGATGTGTCAGCGTGGCATCCTGTGACGATCTATACTTATAGCACGAGAGAAAGAAAATTAAAAGGTTTTTTGGATATATAATACGATATGAAAAAAATAATACAGAAAGTAAATTATAAAAGATTAATTTTTTTATATGACTACTGTAAATAAATTGAGCTAAGGCCACTCAAACCTACGCTATGTGATAAGCTGTAAGCGCAAAGTGCGAAAATGGCCCAACGTTTTTCTTCTTTTCTTCTGGCATTTCTAGCATTTTGAAAAATGTGGTAAGACTTCATTTGTGAACAAATTCTCAAAAAATTGTCAAAAATAAGCATAAGAATTTACGTTCACAGATTTCTTATTGGTCCTGTAATTCTCCAATGGAAGATTCATGTCTTACTCCTTTGAAAATTTCCGTTATCACATTTCTATATTCTAAGTTTCATTCTTTCACTTCTCAGATCTTCATTTGAAATCATTTATTCTTGCAATCCATCTTTTACTTGAATATTTTATTTTAGTTCTTGATGGCTATGCTCCGCTTATATAACAGGGAGTGCTTCATAAGCAGGGGGAAAAAAAAAGCTTCCTGTAGACCTTCTTTATAATAGAGAGAGATTTAGTTAACATTCAAAAACACATAATCAAGAGTACACTTTCCTTTGACGCGTAGTCCATTAAAGAGGAGAGATGCATGTAATTAATGATCCTTGAAACATGCAAGCATGAAGCTTATATATATATATATATATATATGTAGTCTTGCTTAGCAGAAATATTGTGACTACCTAGCAGAGACAATAGCGATTAATTCTCTGTTCATAGTATAATCACATGAACTATTTCGTAGTGCTATCTATTCTAGCATGTTCCATCTCCAAAGCTAAACATTCTTGCAGTTGTTGAAATATGTAACTTATGTCTGGCCTTTGGTTTGGTGTTGGTAGGACACATGACATTCCTACTTCAACGGCTTTCCGTGTTGAGGTAACATAGAATTCTCCACCTAATCTTGGATCAACAATGCCTTCAATATCTCTACATTCAATTTTAGGTTGAACCCAATCAAGAATGAAACTAACATTCTCAACATTTCTTTTTATTGGAGGACGACCGGTTATAAGTTGAAGAAGAATCATTCCAAAACTATAAAATATCACTTTTCTTATTTAGTTGTCCAGTTCTGTGAAATCTGCAAAGGATAACACTTAATTAGATAAAATAGCTTTTTTTTTTTGTTGGTATAATCGATTGGATTAAATATATTCTCGGTGAATGAATTGAAACTAAATATCATATTGTCTTCTCTAATATTTTAAGCAAATATTAGTATATTTTATTTCATTTTGATATGATAAAAACACTTACTCTGGATCAATATAACCAGGAGTACCAGCTGGTCAAGTTAATAGATGGGAATCTTCTTCATTTGTAAAAGCTCTAGAGAGACCAAAATCAGCAATCTTGGCTACCATGGATTTGTTTAATAAAATGTTGGATGGTTTCAAGTCTCTATGGATTATAGGAGTATTACAACCAATATGAAGATATTCCAATCCTACAGCTCCAACAGATTATCATAACAAAGGGAAATATACAGTATAAAAAATGAGGAAATATGATGAGTAGTAGTTAATTGATAAGGAAGACAAATAAATAAGTAGTAGTTTTTTGCTACCTTTTGCTGTGTCAATTGCTACTTGAAGCCTCTCATTCCACTTCAAAACATTTGAGTTTTTCTCTAGAAATAAAAAACAAACGTGTCCATTAGCATGATGTTTCAATACTAAAAAGAAAACATATTGATCTAGAAGAGAAGAGGGAGAAAGAGAGAAGAGAGAGAGGAGAGAAATTTAGAGGGAGATAATTTAATATTAATTATTATTTATTTAAAAGCATATATACAAAGTAAATTAGTTATGATACTATTTATAAGCCTTATTAATCTAATTCTAAAATAAATGTGACAATAAAATTAAAAGTAAATATTCTAAAATATAATATTAATTGGCAAAAT